GTTGTTGTTGGTTGTTGTTGGTTGTTGTTGGTTGTTGTTGGTTGTTGTTGTGGTTGTGGTTGTGGTTGTGGTTGTTTTTGTTGTTGTTGTTTTTGTTGTTGTTGTTGTTGGTTGTTGTTTGTTGGTTGTTGGTTGTTGTTTGTTGTTTGTTGTTTGTTGGTTGTTGTTTGTTGGTTGTTGGTTGTTGGTTGTTGGTTGTTGTTTGTTGGTTGGTTGGTTGGTTGGTTGGTTGGTTGGTTGGTTGGTTGGTTGGTTGGTTGGTTGGTTGGTTTGTTGTTGTTGTTGTTGTTGTTGCTTGAGACTCCGAACAAAGGAACCGAGCAATACAACTATTTCTATCCCTATACTTAACTTTTTGTATATAGTTCTATTCCCATTTCTACTACTACGACGACTGCTACTACTACCACCACCAACAACTTTACATTTTATTGCTGTACATTAATGGCCATTGTTGTGGGTGTGTAGCCTGTGGTGGAACTTACCATCAGCAGTCCAACGTTTAGACGCCCTAACGGAGTTGCTCCAGCGCGGTAAGCGGGACCTCGGGGTAGGGGGGCGTTTCGTTTGGCAGATGTATACCCGGGCCGAACCCGTTCGTCCGGTGGTTTTTGGACACCCCGAATCACCTCAGGCAGAGGCTATAGACATAGACACCTCAAGCGGAAGGTCCTGGTGGTTCTACATCATGCTAGCAGCCCGTTGAATAACTACGGACAAAACACGTTGGGTGCGTCCAGAACCGATTGCGAAGCCTGCTGAATGTTCTTGCAAATTTGGACACCCAGAAACAGCCCCAGCTTGCCCCCGACAGAAACATGTTCCTCGGGAATCGCACGATGATCGCACACAGTGACAACAAGGACTATGCCCTATAGGGATGCAAGTACCTTCTCAGAAGGTGATTGGAGACACTCTTATGTAGGTTTTGAGGCTCCAAGTACCTTCTGAGAAGGTACTTGGATCCCCAGGGATGCAATACCATGTACCTATACAGTAGCCTATACAACCAGCCTTGATATTACCAAGTCTTCAGCCTTTTCCTGGACCCTCTATACCTATTTTTCGAGACTTCTCCGGTTCGTCCAGCTCTTTCCCTCCCATTTTTGGGGTGATTACTTGATCCTTTTGGTCAGGATCGTGCAGGCAGGGTCTCGTTGGTGTTCGGGTTTCAGGTCAGGAACACTCAGAACGGACCTCAACACACATGGACCTTGAACCGGGAGCTCGCTTGAGAAACTGGGCACAACTGGGCCAAACGCGTGCAGGTTTTGAGGATGCCTTGAAGTCCCTCGAGTTACAAGCCTCGCAGGCGTGGCGTGGACCCGCGCTTCGGTCCGTCCGTGCGTTCGCACGGCCCCGCCTCCCGGTCCCTCCGGCCCCAGAGCCGCCTCGCCCGGAGAGTCTGAGAGACCCACGACGCGCACGCGGCGGTCGTGTTCACGAGGCTTCTCGGACAGCGTTCGGACAGCGTGGACCCGGCAGAAGCACCGAATCACCCGGCAGAACCGACGCCACAGCGTTTCGGCACGGAAATGGACGACGATCTGACTGGCCGGACGGATGCCGTCGACGTCGGAAAGACCAGTCGAGTGGCTCGGTCCAGACCGTTGGACTCAGCGGTGACACGTTGGCCGCTGAATCGAGCGGACGGATTTGCAGACATACCCTAAGGATCCAGTCGTACCTTCTCAGGTACGGTGATTGGAGACACTGCTATGTAGGTGCCAGGAGGGTCCAGTCGTACCTTCTGAGAAGGTACGACTGGATCCCTAGGGATAAATACATATTTGACGTCATGACGTGAGTGTTGAGGCCAAAGGCCTCGGGTCACTATGTGTGAACTGCACGCTGAGGATGATGTGGGAAGAACATGCAACAAAGGGTATATAATATTATATAGTGGTGTCTATATAATATATATATATATTAGTTTGTTTAATTAAAAAAATATATATATAAACGGATGACATTAGACCTAAATGATACTAGATGCAAGGAGAGTGGGCACAACATACTGTTGCGCAGGGAGCAGGGGACAAAGCTATCATGAACATGTGACAGCTAGGGATGTTGACTATCTGCATGTCTAAAGGGATACTCCGGCCGATGTTGACACACGATTCTTGCCTCGTGTCTGTCAGGCAGCACAGGCAATGCAAATCCAAGATGCACCCTCTGGTGCTGATGTGACAACAGCCGACACCGCTGTTGCGACGACGGCTTCTGCGGATTTGACGTCACTCGGATGATAGTGGTTCACAGTGGTTCAGTGTGACAGCAGTTTCTTCCAGTTCTACCTCAAACGAAGGTGGCAAGGATATGAACGCCAGATATTTCTTGGGGAGATTTGGGGAGGATTCCTGGAATCTTGGAGTGATAGAACTAGGGCAAAACATCCTTAGGATGCCTTACCTTATTGTTTAGGCTCAGACTTTCGAGCGAATTTGTTGGTTTCATGAGGGTTATGCTTTACAGGTTGATTTTGGCGCGTGTTGATAGCCTTCCAACAACGGATGTCATGAAGGATTTTCATGGGAAGTTCTCGGCTTTGGGAGATTCCAAGTATGGACAGAATGGGAGACAATAGCAATCAATAGTTTTGCAGAGAGAAATCATCAGATGCAAGGTACTTATTCAGGAAAAGGGCCAGCAGCTATGTTGATGTGATTTGGTTATGCAATTCTCTCCATAGCTGTTGCCTGCATTACATTACTTTACAGTTCTGAGTCTTGGGAAGGACATTCTGCATGGCTGACTGGTGTTTCTGGTGTCAAAGAGGGCTGGTTGCAGCCCGACTGGTCTCTTTGTTTCGCATAGGTAGGTGAACAAATCCAACAAAAATAGATCGGTTCAGCACCGCTTTTCGTCCTGGTTTTGGGATTGGATAGACGTGGACAGCGACCACAGTGCTGAGTGCTGCTCTCAGGCAAAGTGCGGAGTTGGAAGAGGCGGGGCCCTTGGAAGTTTAGACTGTACTGCCTCGGGGATCTTCCCATCCAGGTGATGCTTTAGAATTTGATGATTGAAACCTTGACACTAGCCCAGGTCCAATCGGGCCCAGGTCCAAACCTGTAGGCTACGGTTACTTCCGAGTGAATGGTAGAGTGATTTTGCTCTTGGCCCTTTCTAGACTCCATGTAATGATCCTGGAACTGGAAAACCGCGTATTTGCAGAGGAAAATTGTCATCCAAGAGGCCATGCCATGCGTTTCCATGATCTTTCATGATCATTGCATTATTTCAGCGAGTGTAGTCGAGTTGAATCGAATCAATAGAGATGTTCACTATTTGCATGTCTTATGGTATACTCGATATTGATTTCTTGTCCTATCTTGACACGCGATTCTTGCCTCGTGTCAGGCAGCGCAAATCCAAGATGCACCTTCTGGTGCTGATGTGACGGCAGCCGACACCGCTGTTGCTCTGACGACGGCTTCTGCGGATTTGACGTCACTCGGATGGTAGTGGTTCACAGTGGTTCACAGTGGTTCAGTGTGACAGCAGTTTCTTCCAGTTCTCCCTCAAACGAAGGTGGCAAGGATATGAACGCCAGATATTTCTTGGGGAGATTTGGGGAGGATTCCAAGGGGTTGTGCTTTACAGGTGGATCTTGTCACTTGCTAATAGCTGTCCAACAACAGATGTCATCAAGGATGTTCATGAGCAGGTCTTGGATTTGGTAGAATCCAAGTATAGTTTGAACACCGCCAACTGGCAATGAGAAACCAATATATCAATGAGACAGACATGGAGACAAATCAATGTCAATAATTATGCAGAGAGAAAACATGAGATCCAAAGTACTTATTCCAGAAATGGCTAGCGGCTAGGTGTTTTTAGGGGTAGCTTACCAATCCAACAAAAATAGATAGGTTCAGCACCGCTTTTCGTCCTGGTTTTGGGATTGGATAGACGTGGACAGCGACCGCAGTGCTGAGTGCTGCTCTCAGGCCAAGTGCGGAGTTGGAAGAGGCGAGGCCCTTGGAAGTTTACACTGTACTGCCTCGGGGTTCTTCCCATCCAGGTGATGCTTTAGAATTTGATGATTGAACACCTGTAGGCTACTGTTACTTCCGAGTCGCTGAATGGTAGAGTGATTTGTTCTTGGCCCCTTTTGCACTTCATGAAATGATTCTGGAACTGGAAAACCACGTGTTTGCAGAGGACAATTGTCATCCAAGAGGCCATGCCATGCGCTTCCATGATCTTCCATGATTGTTCAGGGGGTGTAGGCGAGTTGAATCAAATCAATAGAGATGTACACGTTTTGCATGTCTTAAGCGATACACGGTGTTGTTTTCTTGTCCGATCTTGACACGCGATTCTTGCCTCGTGTCAGGCAGCGCACATCCAAGATGCATCCTTTGGTGCTGACTTGACGGCAGCCGACACTGCTGTTGATCCAACGGCTTCTGCGAATTTGACGCCACTCGGATGGTAGTGGTTCACAGTGGTTCAGTGTGACAGCAGTTTCTTCCAGTTCTCCCTCAAGCAAAGGTGCTTTTCACGCTGCTGGAAATTAGTCAAGTATTGGGGAGAAGGATGTTTTTGGAAAGGATATGAAATGTTGGGGAGGATTCCTGGAAGCAGTCTTGGAGTGATCGAAGTAGGGTTAAGTAAGAACATCCTGAGGATTTCTTGCTTTGTTGGAAAAGCCTCAGAGTCATTTGGAGGTTAGTGGCTGCATGAGGGTTATGCTTTACAGGTGGATATTGGCACATGTTGATAGCTTTCCAACAAAGGATGTCATGAAATGTCATGAAGGACGTTCATGGGAAGTGTTTGGCTTTCGGGGAAATCCAAGTATAATATGGACAACCAGCAACTGGCAATGAGAACTGCAGTGCCAATACCATACCAATGGGACAGAATGAGAGACAATATAAATCAATCACCAGAGAGAACACATAAAACCCAAAGTACTTAAGGTACTGATTCGGACAAAGGGTTGGCGGCTGTTTTGTATTTAGGGGTAGCCGGTACTGATCGGTTTTTGCAGGTTGTCCAGTTTTACTTTCCTATTTGGGGCACATGGAAAAAACCTATGGTCTTCCCATGTCCCCATGTTGACGCTGCAACCTGTGCTGTCTCCCATCACCACTCTTGTGGGAGTATATCTTGGGAATGATCAATCATCGTCTACAATAACCACCTGATTAAGAGTTAGATTGTGTTAGATGTTGGATGACTGGTTCTAACTCTCTAGATGTCAGATTTTAGATGACTGGATGTTAGATGTTGGATAACCTTATCAAAGCAATGCTGCACTTGCAAAGCGATACTCCGTCGCCGAGGCAGACAGAGCCAAGGGCTTGTGATCCAGAGGAAGGGAGCTGGGAGAGATCGCAAAGTGTCAAAGCAAGGTGCTTTGGTTGGTTCGATCATGACAGTATACTTTTTGGATATGGCGTGGAGCTTGTGGCAATTACCTGGAATCTGAATGACCTCTACTTTGGACCACCAGCCTCCCCAAATATGGTCTTTTCGTATCAACACAGAGGTCAAATGGGTTGCATTAATATATATAGAGAAAAGCCAGCTTACCGGTGGACGCGGTACCTCAGTCAACCCTCCTGACGCAGCATGGCTCGCCTCTTCGCAGATTCACCAGGGCCCTATTTTTCACTTCAGCTTGTTCCAGCCTGAGCTTTCAAAAAAGTAGCTTCACACACCGTCAGTTGCAACAAGTTCTTCAGCATTTTTCAGCATTGCAGCACTTGGTTCGCACTTCTCGGTTGGCTTCGTGAGATCCAGTTTCTAAAGAAGTGAGATCGAGTTCTCGTCGGTCGTCGGGAAGTTCACACGAAGCAAAAAACACCACTGGACACACCGCCGTTCCGCGCGCAAGACTGCGCAGATGTGGCCTGTGATGAGACCGTACATTTCGGGTACGCCGATCGCCTATACCTGTCATAAACACCTTTAAGCATCTCCAAACCCATTTGCGCCTTGAGTCAACTGTCAAAGGTCTTGGTGACATCTTGGGCGAAACATCAAACCAAGCCCGCAGGATGCTGTGCATGAGAGTGCTGGGCTGGGAGGTGCATGAAATTCGTTCCTCGTGGGCGCGGACCTCTTCATGGACCTCGATCCATGGCGAGGTCGCGCCGGTTGGGCGTTCAGAATGGTTGCAGTTCTGCGTGGTTGGACCTTTGTGGATGATTTGATAGTAGGTTACACCAGCAGAGGTTGAAGAACCCTATAGACTATCCTATAAGTACCCCTGTAGGGTCCTATAAGGTCACTTAACCTCTGTTGGCAGTAGGTTCATATGTCTTAATTATATATACCGTTGTTGCATATCTTTAAATCCGTTGGAATTTCAAGGAATTGGACACACACACAGAGACAAACAATACAGGCAATCCGGTATCAAACAATGCAAGAACATGGGATAACACACATATATATAATACATATAATATATATATATGTTGGGACCTTCGCAGTGTCCTTTTCGATTCGAAGGGCTTAGGTCACTGGTGCTTTAAACCCAAAACGAAGGGCACAAAAAGAAAGCCCCTGGTGACCGCTGATGGTGACCACATCTCGTTCTTGGCAACCAAACCTGAAACCTCAACCCTCAGCCGGTAGACCAAGACGTCGCCGGTAGACCTGCACCTTGAAGCCAATGTGACTGGGGCCGGAGTCCGACGCATCACGCCGAAATGCGGACCATAGGACGACTGTACTGTAGACTCTGGATGAATGACACAAATGTTGCCCCGAAGAGGTTTTACAATCCATTGGGTGGGTGGATATTTGTCAAAAGTCGGTATTAGGGCGAGGAAGATGGGGAAAACCATGGCATAAAACCGCATGGTCACTGGATTCCATGTCTAGTAATTGCAAACGCAAGATGCACGTCGTGTAGCACTTTGACGGATGGAAGGAATGTTCATGGCTAGGGGACCGATATGACTGCCAGTAGCTCCACTCTTTTCGGTGGGGATGCAGGATGATTTAATCATCAACTTAAGCAATCATATCTCTTTCATGTTTAATGCATTGCTCCGGCCACAAGACTCGCAAGAACTCCTTTGGGGCCCAAAAGCACACTGAACTACACCAAGCAGGTCCTCCAAAAGACGACCTACTACTACTACTCCTACTACTCCTACTACTACTACTACTACTACTACTACTACTACTACTACT